TATATATATGAGCCTCTTATTTGTTAGCGATACAGATTATTTGTTACATTGACGAATTAATTTGCAATCGCGTAACAAATTATTTTTTCAACAAATATCACATTTGCTTTCCCTTAATTTGTTCCTATAACAAAATCTTTTCTCTCAGTATATAATCGTTTTTTCAAAACTATCCTTAACAAAAGTATCTCTTTAGCAATAAATTCTCACGCGAGGGAATCCACAACCCCTATTATATTCATGAAATTTTCGCAGATGGCAATTTCTCCATCATCGCGACGTCATAAATAAAAGATTTTTAATAAACTGAACGACTCATCGTCATTTCCGAAGGAGCGGCAGGACGATCGGCAATTTCGCCATTAAGGATTCCTTTATTAAAGCTCTCTTCCTGCATCGACAGGATCTTTTACGAGCTACTGTTACGGGCGTACTTTGAATAAGAATTTTTAATAAAGAGCGCTTCCCTCCCCTCCACCACGACGGCCGCCCGTGCCTGTTTGCCAAGATAATTCCGAACTGGTTCGGATTCTAACGAGGATTCCGGTGCTGTGTAGCGGAACTTCCGAAGACTAATAAAAGACACCGAAACATTTAAGGATCCGAGGACACAAAATTCAGAACTTGCGGTAACGCTAAGATCAGAATACGACAGAGAGAGACAAGAGAGAGAGAGAGAGAATCCGGCTTTTTGAATAAATCTCTGGAAAAGGATTTTCCGGCTAACCACTCTAAAGCCGGTATTCATAGATGGTTCTTATTTCAAAATCTTAAGTAATATCTTAAAACGCTAATGCAATTTTCTGGCCGGTATTCTTAGTCGATTCTTATATTCAAGACTACCTTAATTACAGTCTTAAGATATCACGAACCAATTAGAGGACCGTATTAGCATCTTAAGACATTACTTAGAACGATCTTAAAATAAGAACCGACTTTGAATATCGGCCTCTGATTCGTTCGTATATAACAAAACTGAACTTAAGACAGTTTTGAATATATAAGATTATAAGAATACCGGGGTTAAATAATTTTTTTTTAATTAGTAAAGTGTATAAAAAAACGGCAGTTTACATTTATAAATTTTTCTTAAATAATTGGAACTTAAACTTCGGATCTTCGATCTTTATATTAAAAATTTTTCGACTCTAAATTACATTTTTAACTTTTTAATCTATAGTATTGTAACTTAAAATTGTTTGCAGCTTAAGATACCAAATTAATTTCCGTTAATAGGCTATCCCCAATCAAAATAAAACAGAAGGAAAATCTAATTGCGAGATACAAGAGTTACAAAAATATGAGAACCGCTGAAGTGTTCGGTTATTTGCAGCGAGAGATTTGCAAAAATGACTGTTTAATTATTATTGTACTCGAGCGTGTGGCGAGCTGTTATCGGATCGCGAATTATACTCGGTCGTTAAACTCCATTTCCAATATGGAGCGTGCATTCTGAAAATGTTCAGGGATCACTGGCTATCCTTAATAACCTGCAACACGGTCAACTCGCGTAATTAACGCCAATTTTATTTCGATGAATTTGTCTGGCATATTTGTTGAATAATTGCTGGCTCCTCTCCCGTATTTTACATCCATTTTGACGAATTAATTAATAATACATTATCGGTAATAAATAAGCATTGTGACACAAAATTTAATTAAGATAATAATGAGTAAAGAACGTTAATGAAACTTAAACAAATGGCAGTAAAAGTAGACAATAACAAAATCAAATAACGCTAGGACTGGGAGTTAAATAAATACAATCGAATCGAAGGAATAATGAACATAAATCTAAGTAAATGAGAATTTCGATGTGTCAATAATTATCTTTCCAATTTTCACCAAAAAGCATTGTTTTGAGAAGTAAAACAACAAGAGAGACTGCAAGTATCAATAAATAAACTCAATTCGTTCTTGTTAGCAATTCAAATGACGGTTATTTGCATTTGTTCTCAAAAAAGAGAGATTGTGAATAAAATTATAATTAGTAATACAAATGTTGGTCATTTTATTTACACCTACATATAAATATTAGGGTAAATTACTTAGGGTATTATGGACATATATACGGAAAAGATAGCCATAGACCATAATTTCTCCAATAATTGATAAATAGTGCATTTTTATAGTCATTCTTAAAGATAATCAATATTTACAGTAGTTCATATGAGTACACTGTTCAAAATAACAATATTATAAATA